GTCAGGGCTGGGCACGTTTACGTTATTCGCGAACACCTGGTGTTATCACTCGTTTTCAGTGATCCATTCTTAATTTTCACCTTTGTTTTGCCTTTTGTGACTAATGTAATATTATTCTTGGGATGATCAACACTTGTTCTCTGGCGCTGACGGTTTGTATTTGTATTTAGCATAACGAAATATACTCACCCCCAAAGAAAACGCGAACCATAGAATCATATAGAGAAGTATGTACGTTAAGAAGAGATGTTTCCAGTGTGTACCACTTAATGGCAAAACTAACAATCAGTCAAGTGTTAACACAGCGTGTGTTTATTCTTATCACGATACGCTGCACGTGATTTCCGAACTTTACATGCTATTCCTGCATGAGACAAAAGGTGCATCTTCGGTCATGGATCTATGACGTCACATGTGATGCGTTCATGAGCGTCGGTTCACATAACATACCAGTATGTTCTTTTGTGCATTCAACCAATCTAATATCTCTTGAATGCGAGTAATTATTCATATATTAACCAACATGTATGGTATTCGCGTGTGTATATATAGGGTAAAGTTAGAATGTGTTGGGAAGGATGACTGTAGAGGCTTCAGAGAGTTTTTTTCCCAATATTTGAACATGATGATTACCCGAGCTGAATTTCTAAGGAGATGTTGATAAAAACAGTTTTGCTTTGTTTTTCGTTTAACGCCACACCGAGCAATATTCCAGATATATGATGGTGTTCTTTAATAATCGCCAAGCAGGTTAACAACAAAAAACATCTGTTAACGTTTTTTGGTACCACCACACCACAAAGGAGAGGAATCCTTTATAAGTGTGTGTGTGTATCTTGTGAAGTGTTTGTAAACACTAAATAGGAAACTAATGCTTCATAAGTGTATGTGTGCGTATCATGTTTAGGATGTGTAAATACTATATAGGAAACTAATGCTTCATAAGTGTGTGTTTGTGTGTGCTGATCATGTTTAGGATGTGTAAATACTATATAGGAAACTAATGCTTCAAACGTGTGTGTTTGTGTGTGCGTATCATGTTTAGGATGTGTAAATACTATATAGGAAACTAATGCTTCAAACGTGTGTGTTTGTGTGTGCTGATCATGTTTAGGATGTGTAAATACTATATAGGAAACTAATGCTTCAAACGTGTGTGTTTGTGTGTGCTGATCCTGTTTAGGATGTGTAAATACTATATAGGAAACTAATGCTTCAAACGTGTGTGTTTGTGTGTGCGTATCATGTTTAGGATGTGTAAATACTATATAGGAAACTAATGCTTCAAAAGTGTGTGTTTGTGTGTGCGTATCATGTTTAGGATGTGTAAATACTATATAGGAAACTAATGCTTCAAACGTGTGTGTTTGTGTGTGCTGATCATGTTTAGGATGTGTAAATACTATATAGGAAACTAATGCTTCAAACGTGTGTGTTTGTGTGTACTGATCATGTTTAGGATGTGTAAATACTATATAGGAAACTAATGCTTCAAACGTGTGTGTTTGTGTGTGCGTATCATGTTTAGGATGTGTAAACACTATATAGGAAACTAATGCTTCAAACGTGTGTGTTTGTGTGTGCGTATCATGTTTAGGATGTGTAAATACTATATAGGAAACTAATGCTTTAAACGTGTGTGTTTGTGTGTGCTGATCATGTTTAGAATGTGTAAACACTATATAGGAAACTAATGCTTCACAAGGCAACCAGTGGTTGATAGCATGAACAACGTTTGTCGGATCTCGCTGGCACGCAAATAAGGCAGATACACAAGTGCAGGTGCACTCGTTGTACCAATCCGGATCTCTTTTCCGGCTCTTGCAAATATTCCAAAACATAGTCATAATAGGTACTGTGCACCACCAACACTATCAGCGCATAGGACATTATAAAATAACACTTAAATGTCTAATTTTAATTCAGTGAGAAAACACAAATGGTAATTAAAGCGAAAAAAAACTTTCCATATTCACAAGAAAGCTCTGCTAGGAGCAGAGTCGAGTGTACGATTCCGGCTATATCATGAGCATGGGTTTACGAATCATTTTCAAAAAGGGATGATACCAGGTGTTCGCGAAAAGGTGAGCGTATCCTGGTGTATGATCCCCGTCACAAACACACGCAACATATGGTACAAATCCAAATAGGGAATTGCACTGGACATAATTTTTGACACTGATGCGTCTTTAAGAAATCATGTAACTCTATATTCTGTCCAATGGCAACTCTTTATTGTGCCTCCTAGAAGACCTCCTACGTGGTCTAGTGGTAGAGCGTCCGACAGGGGAGCGGAAGGTCCGGGGTTCGATCTCCGGCCGCGTCCTATCAAAAGGCGTTAAAAGATGGTACTTGTTGTTACCCTGTCTGGCGCTCGGCATTAAGGGGCTAACAGAAGGGCTAGTCGTCTCGGAGTCAGTATACTGTGTCTGCGTGGGGTATTCATGTTAAACTCCGATATGGTATAGCACTATAAATCGGCATCAGTCCGGACGAGTACAAGCGCGCGCGCACACACACACACACAAACACACACAAACACACAAACAAACATGCACGTCGCTATATAAGTGTAAAGATCTTGGGCGCGACGTTAAACCCCATTTCACCCCACCTCACCCCACCTCACCTCACCTCACCTCACCTCATCCTAGAATATAAGGTCAGTTGAGTTAGGCCACCCACGCGATCAAGACAATGTTGATACGTTGATTCCAACATCAGCGTGTGGTAAGTACCCTGCAAGGCAAATTCTATAAGCCTGCTTTCGCCAGGTACCACGTTGGTCGTTTCCATGGTGACATCAGATATTAATTCTGTATTCTGTAATTAGTTTAGCATTTCAGTAAAGTACACGTTAATATTGGTCACGAAAAGAAATTTGCTGTTGAAAAAGGATTTGTTCAGATTTTACAATGAATAAGTAAATCATAAAGCAGGAATGGTCCTCGACAATCTGTTTGTTTGTTTGTTTGTTGTTTATAACTGTACTCGGCAATATTTTCACTACATGAATGCTGTCTGTAAATAACCGAGTCTGGAAAAAACATTTTGTGATTGACATCATGAGCATCGATCTACGCAATTGAGATTACGACAAACATGGGTTGTTAAAGATCAGTTCTAACCCGGAGACACCCGTGAAGATCCGGTTCAGAATAGGTCTTCAGCAACCATGCTTGCCATAAAACGCGACTGTGCTTGTCTTTGTGGCTTCGTTACTTTGTAACATTGTCTCCACATCTGTATTGTATGCAGCACATCCCTTTAGCTGTGTTGTATTCGCGGTTATTATCTCTTTGTACTCTTGTTTTGTATATGGACCAAAACCTATGAAGTGAGGTGAGGTGAAATGGGGTTTAACGTCGCGTCCAAGATTATTGCACTTACATAACGTGCAGTCACATAGCGTGTGTGCTTGTTCTAGTCCGGATTAATGCCGATTAGCGCTAGCCCACTGAGATACCACGCCGCAGTTTAACATGAATATCCAGCTCAGACACAGTATACTGACTCCGAGACGACCAGTCCTTGTTTAAGTCCCTTAATGCCGAGCGCCAGATAGGGTAACAAAAAGGTACCATCTTTTAACGTCTTTTGGTAGGACGCGGCCGGGGATCGAACCCCGGACCTTCCGCTCTCTGGGCGGACGCCCTACCACTAGAGTGAGTGAGTGAGTGAGGTTTTACGCCGCTTTTAGCAATATTCCAGCAATATCACGGCGGGGGACACCAGAAATGGGCTTCACACATTGTACCCATGTCGGGAATCGAACCCGGGTCTTCGGCGTGACGAGCTAACGCTTTAACCACTAGGCTACCCGACCGCCCCCCTACCACTAGACCACGGAGGCGGTCACAATACTTAGGATTATGGAAAGGGTGTTGTCGCTGTTGTTTATACGCATCACATTATAACACTACGGTTTGCCAGGTGTATGCTTCATCACGACAATGCTTGGTTGTACTGATGTCGTAAAACTAGAGGAGGCGGTCGGGTAGGCTGGTGGTGAAAGCGTTCGCTCGTCTCGCCGAAGACCCGGGTTCGATTCCCGACACGGGTACAATGTGTGAAGCTTCTGGTGTCCCCCGCCGTGATATTGCTGGAATATTGCTAAAAGCGGCGTAAAACCATACTCACTCACTCACTCACTGTATCACTATGGTATGTGAGTTCATACACAGAGTGACAAATTAAGTCTTATTGTCTACACATTAAGTTTTTCGTTTTCTGGTGTCCCCCGCCGTGATATTGCTGGAATATTGCTAAAAGCGGCGTAAAACCATACTCACTCACTCTTTAAAACATAAGGCGTCTTAGCCGTGGAGTAACCAGTCTCCAGATCCCATCGTAAAAGGCAAGATAGCGGTGAATGGACCAGTGAAAATCAGTGATGACATCAGGTGTTTGCTAAAATAAGTAACCTCGTGTTTAAGTAAGAACAAGCCATTCTTCACGGTGCCACCGGTGGGGCCGGATACGCTCACCTTTTCGCGAACACCTGGTAACACAACAATAATAAGCACACATGTTATTTCTGTGTTATGAATCGAAACCAGGGCCCACTTGCACAAAGCGATCTTAGCTCTAAGACTACCGTAAGCCTATGTTAAAAGGGTGGGAGTTACGATCATCTAAGCGCTAAGATCGCTTTGTGCGAGTTGGCCAGGGACCCGTTCCACAAAGCGATCTTAGCGCTACGACTGTCGTAAGCCTATGTTAAAGTATGGGAGTTACGGTCATCTTACCGTTAAGATCGCTTTGTGGAACAGGGCCCAGGTCTTCTGCGTGACGGAAGAGTGAGTGAGTGAGTAAGATGAGTGGGCTTCACACATTGTACAGTAACGGAAGAACGGTTTAACTTCAAGACTACCCCGGTGTTCTGGGGAATCGAACCCAGGGCGTCTCGGCGCTAAGGGAACGGACACAACGTCCGACTAATTACCCGAATCTCAGGAATAAGTTAACACATCGTATTTAATAATTAAATTCACTTTCAGGTTTCCATGGTGACAGCATGACGGAGTCGCTATGTAACGTCAGTGACACATGTGACGTGGAGCTCGATTTCGATGACGTCATCAGCACAGCCGGGCTCAGCGCAGCGCTATCATACTTCGCCGTAGTGTTTCTGCTATCGCTGCTATGTAACGGCACTATCTGTGTTGTGTTCCACAAGAGGCCACAGCTCCTTACAGTGTCCAATAGCTTTGTGCTGAACCTCACCTGTTGTCAACTTGGTAAGTCACATCAGAAATATTATTTGTGTATGGTCACTGGTTTCACAATTATATTAAGATAATTATAATTATTATTTTCCAATCCCAACTCCGATACAACACTTCTCGACAAAAAGATTTGAAAATCCTCCGTAGAAAGTTGCCTGGGGCTATTCTAAACTATCGGTATGAACGAGTGGAGCTTTCAGAACAGCATATCTGGTTTATGGATCTTGAAAACGAAAGTCCGAGGGCAGTTCCGAGTGGAAATAATAAAGGCCCGTCTATAATTTTGGTGTGGAAATTGTATCAATCTTGGTGATACAAGCGAAGGAATGGTTGTGTCATGTGTCCTGTCCTGGCTTTGATGTGTTAAGTCGAAATTTCCGAATCGCAGTGCCAAAAAACGAAGCCGACTCATTATAGACATCTGGCTGAAAAACCCACGAATCCCTCTTTTAGTTTGGACGTGTCGCCGTACGCCCAGGGCTCTACTGACGCGACCCCTATGGGCGTGTTCCCACTTGACGTGAAAGCCAAAAAGGGTGATAATGATATGAATGGATCACTGAAAATCGGCGATAAAAAGAGAAGGCATGCCCTGTCGTACCGGCAGCACATGGTTTTAAAGACTGTCCCGGGCCTCGTTCTCTTTACTCGATCTAGTCGAGCGCCGTTGGGTGGGGTGGGGTAGGTGGGGGGGGTGGGGGTCCCTGGGACGGGTAGGTCCCCTGTTTGTGATTCGTACTGACTGAATCGGACGTTGTAAAGAGTTGCGCCCCCTAGTCGCTGTGATCTGCGGGGGGAAGGTTCGAATACATATTCGGCCGTGTTAGTCCCCTTGGTCTGTCAGCATAATTCCCATTCTTGGGGAATTCATCAAAAGGGTGGAGCGCAAAAGAACCTGCCGCCTTAGACGTTGTAAAATCGCGAAGTAGTGAGTGAGTGAGTGAGTTTGGTTTTAACGCCGCTTTTAACAGTATTCCAGTTATATCACGGCGTGTCAGCTTAATGTGGGAGGAAAGCCCGAAGTGATGCAGGTCTCTGACGTTTACCACTTCGGTGAAACCCACGAGCATGGGTATGGTGCTGACAAACCTAGAAACATAATCGGGTCGGACCGGGATTCGAACCCACAATCATAGGTTTCTGGCGTGCCCAAGGGACGCAAATCTGCACAGCGAATCGCGGCGCCTTAGACGCGCCAGAACCTACCGCAGATTCGACCTGATTTGTTATGATGTGTCTAGGTTTGTCAGCACCATACCCGTGCTTAGTGGCTTCAAATAAGCTTGAAACGTCTGAGACCTGCATCACTTCGAGCTCTCCTCTCACTTCAAGCTGACCCACCGTGATATAACTGATGTACTGTTCAAAGCGGCGTTAAACTCACATACTCACCCATCAGTGTTAAACATACACTATATGCAGCACTGTGAGTTTTCACAACTTGAAGCTGAGACTCCGTGACGTAATTGAAATACTGTTCAATGTGGCATTAAATCAAATGTCACTCGTAGTCAATCAAAATATCCATCAGGAGTACATCTGTGACCGCAGCCTTTTCGAAGTCACATAATTCAAAGACTTAATTTATCATCAAAGCTGATATTAGATCAATTTAACCCCAAACCATTTCATAATTAACTCTTAAATAACGTTCGTTCTTTGAAATAGCTATTCCATAATTACCTCTTAAAAAACGTTCGTTCTTTTAAACAACAGTTCCAAAAATAACTTTAAAATTCCTTTCGTTCCTTAAAATAACAGGGGATCAAAGTCGGGGCACTGTCGGCGCTGCTTGTGTTCCACTGACAACCTTGTGACGTGTTATGACTTATAACACCATACGTCCACTCACTCCTTGGTCTGTGGCCCTTCCACAAGCGTGCCTCTACTGTTGGAGTACTCCCTTGACAAATATTTCCCCATTAATGTATCAAGGCATTTTGTGGGCTTCAGGAAACGCGCCATTACTGAGATTGCAAACCGCGCATCAATAAGAAATGGGATGTGTGGTGAGGCGGGTGTGACGCGCACGAATATGTGGTCCTACATTTCTGAAGGCCACACTGACTGTACTGTATCGTGGCACAAGGAATGAGTTCATTATTAAAACATTATTATTTAATTAGTACCAGCGGGAGATAAAAGGGAAAGGACACACAAACGGATTGCAATTACTGATTGTCAACAAGGGTCAACGCGGTAGTACCGTGCAATTATTATGGTGTATTAAATACTGTCTTCTCCATGTAACGTTGCGTGACGTCATGCTACAACACCTCTCTCTCTCTCTCTCTCTCTCTCTCTCTCTCTCTCTCTCTCTCTCTTCTACTTTTACCCTTTCTGTCTCTCTCTCCCACTCTTACCCTCTCTCTCTCTCTGGGCGGTCGGGTAGCCTAGTGGCTAAAGCGTTCCCTCGTCACGCCGAAGACCCGGGTTCTATTCCCGACATGGGTACAATGTGTGACGCCCATTTCTGGTGACCCCCGCCGTGCTATTGCTGGAATATTGCTAAAAGCGGCGTGAAACCATACTCACTCACTCACTTACCCGCTCTCTGTGTGTGTGTCTCTCTCCCACTCTTACTCTCTCTCTGTGTCTCTCTCCAATTCTCTCCCACTTTTACCCTTTCTGTCTCTCTTACCCACTCTCTCACTCCCACTCTTACCCTATCTCTCTGTGTGTCTCTCTCTCCCACTCTCTCTCTCTCTCTGTATCTCTCTCCCTCTCTCTCTCTCCCACTCTTACCCTCTCTCTGTGTGTCTCTCCAATTTTCTCCCACTTTTACCATTTCTGTCTCTCTTACCCACTCTCTCTCTCTCTCCCTCTCTCTCTATCTCTCTCTCTCTCTCTCTCTCTCTCTCTCTCTCTCTCTCAGGCCTTACACGTTTCCCACCAACGAGAACGGCCATGGTGCTCACAGACCGTCAACATAATCGAATCGGGACGCAAACCCATAACAGTTTTCCGACACACCTAAGGGACGTAACTCTGCACAGCGCAATTTACCACCTGAGCCCACACTTCCTAAAATAACCGTCCACAACTCACAGAGCCAGCCAGCACTCACGGATCAGTGTGCAGGGACTTGCGTCTACGTTATTTACCTTACTTCAGAGGCGGTAATTAGTTGTGGTAATTCTGTCCCGGCTGTGTATTCAGCCTCTGTGGTAGAGTACCCGTATCGTCTAACGCCAGTGCTTGGGGTAGAAGTATTTTGGTTCAACAAGAGAGAGCATCAGTTATGGCGCGCTTGTTTCGGTGTACACAGTCTTGGCGAAAGGGTTCCATGTTTATCAACTGGCGACAAGTTGCTAACACCGGTGTTTACACTTTCCCAAGTGCATGTTTAACGCATGTCGATTATGTATCAGATGTTATCGATATTCGTTCATCCTTAACTAATCAATCAATCAACTTGTCTCCTCATTCATATCCCGTCTAAATTGCCCGAATTCACTGCATCGAAATTACAACCTTCAGTGAAACGATTATCAAATGTTTCTGATGTTATCGCTGAACTGCTGATATGCTCATACTTGTAAATAACGCAACAAGTCCAAGTTAAAATGGAAGCGAATGATGCGATTCATTATGACTCATTTTACAAATATAAACAAAAGAAAAAGATATGTTTGAGGTCACTTAAATCTTGATCAAATATTAAGATATGATTATTTACAAAATCAACTTTAAAAAAGTATTCCACGAGACCGTCATTGGAAGCGAAGGAAAACACGCTGGTCAGGCATAAAAATGGCGCTTTGCGAAACGACCAGTTAAATGAGAAATTTCCAGTTTATAACGAAACAATTTCAAGAGAATAACAAACGGCAGGAAGGGATATTAACTCCATAAATGACCATGTGTCATTATTTTGCCTTGTCAATGTGGAACTAAGATAAAAGGAAGTAATAGTCGGTGTACCGGCCAGACACTTACGATAAAGGGAGACAATTTGAAGGGCGGTAACTCTTGTATGACAATAGTTCCGTCAAAGTGTTATGTTCACTGCAATGAAAAATATATATTTTTCTCATCTTCGGAAAACTGTTTAACACTGAAATATATAATAAATTGTTATCATTGCATGTATATTTCGTAAATATATACCTGTGTTTATATTCAATTTATTGATTTTTTTCTTCAGGACTGTCGATCTTAATTATGCCGTTCTTGATGCTCTCCCTTGTCTCCCGGAAGTGGGTAATGGGCGACATCTGGTGTCGAATCCAGGCGTACCTCCTGACGGTGCTAGTCATCGCCCTGCAGTATTCCCTTCTCGTCATCTCCGTGGACCGCAACTACGCCATCATCAACTCCCTCCGCTACCCCTACGTCTTCTCCCCTCGTCTCGGCAACCTCCTCATCGCTGTCACCTGGCTACTAGGCTTCGCCATCGGCATGCCGCCATTGTTTACATACGGGGAACTCTCCTATCAGCGTACCCAGTTCGTGTGTGGAAATACCTGGGAGTCAGAGAGCAAATACAGCGTGTTCTTTATCCTAGCCGCATTCCTCTTGCCGTTTATTGTTCAGACGTGTTGTTATTTAAGCATTTTTAAAGCAGCAATCAAACATACTAAAGCAGCTAATAGGGTTTATCCATCTGTAGGAAGCACAAGCGCCACCCAGGATATTTCCATGGTGGCGGCCATTGAAATTGATGACGTCACGTCACGTGTTCACATGCCGAGATCTCGAAGGACAGAGTGTAAAGCGGTAAAAACGATTCTTATCATCTACGGCTCCTATGTTATTTCGTGGACGTTTTTCATCATCACGGGCCTCATGAAAGCATTTGGCGCGCAAACGTCTGCCTACTTGGACATGACGGGAATTTGTCTCGTGTTTCTATCTTGTGCCATCAATCCAGTCATTTATGCCTTCATGAACAGACTTACTCGTAATGAGATTTGGAAATACTTCTCGCGTGCGGCACAAAGGTCCGTGGGTCGGGAACCAACTGTCATGGAAAGTGAGGAATTCTACTCGACGACTCTCTCCACCAACTTCTCATCAAGTAGGCACACATCCGGGACGTTTGTACCTGTCGCCAGGGGGCGCTCTAACAGCATCAAAGTGGCATGTGCCAGACGTGGAGACATGCTTACGATTCACGAAGTCTCTGAAACAGACGATGAACTAATAACTGCTTGTGCGTTAAACGAATCCTCCAAAATACAACCCAAATCGACCGCCACTAAATCAGTGAAACACAGCTCTGACGAGGTGTTACTTCGACCGTCCAATTTCAGCAAAATGTCTTTCAGACGTTGCCATAGCAACGATGATATGTCTCGAACTGTTCTAAAAAATGTCAATGGGAAAATAGTTCCGACAGTAAAGAGACATATTAACAACACTCCGAAGGCTTCTCAATCCAGAGACCAACGTCGGTTATTAGTGAGGTCCCAATCATTTGCTAGCGGTCTGTCAGGGAACAGTTTACAGGCTGCTCTCGCGAAGGCGATCAAACTCAGGACGGCTTTAACTATAGGTATTGGCGACGGTGTGTTAACCAATGGCAAGAGTCCGGGGAAGGGCGTCCCAGGTCGCCGACAGCAGAATGTGATCACGTCATTGGCGTCAGTTGATGAAATCTTGTGATGTCCAAAAATACAGGTTGTTGTTTTTAGTAATTATAAAAAAATTAATTTTAAGATTAGTATTTTGACTTCTTCATGAAATCTCAAATCCACTTCATGTGACGTCACCAAGTTATTCCTTTTCAAACATAAGACTTATTTTACGCGTGAAGATCAGGATTATAATTAGACGAAGCCCGAAACCCACGAGCAATGGTATGCTGAGACAAACCTAGAAACCTAATCAGGATGAACCGGGATTTGAATCCCCGATCATGGGTTTCTGGCGTGTCCAACGGAGGCAAATCTGCAAAACGACAGCAGAAATTGTTCCCCAAACGAAACATTCCGCCACTGAGGGAATTCCCCTTACTGGGGTTTAAACGGGTGCTCGATGTTTGACGCGCTGCACAATTTCAATGATCGGGACGGCGCTCAGTCCACCTGGTGAGTTATTAGGGGTCTACCTACCTGTCCAGCACCTAAGCGCGATGATTGGTAAGGCAATAGGGGAATGATGGGGGCGTCTCACATATTATACAAGTCATTGGTGAATATCTCACAAAATATGACGACACAATATATATATATATATATATATATATATATGTCTCCGGACAGCAACTCTACCCAATACACCACGGAGGCGGTCTCCGGGCAGCCGCTCTATCCACTACAGCACGGAGGCGGTCTCCGGGCAGCCGCTCTATACAATACCCCACGGAGGCGGTCTCCGGGCAGCCACTCTATACAATACCCCACGGAGGCGGTCCCCGGGCAGCCGCTCTATCCACTACACCACGGAGGCTGTCTCCATGTATCCAACTTGCATGCGTGGACGTAGAAAAGGAAGAGTGGTTACATTGGTTGTGTACAGGAATATTGCCTCAGACTTTGGGTTTATTTCAATATTTGTTCCCACTAAATTAGCCTGTGCGAGACCATCGGTTTGAGAGCTCTATAAACAATACGTCAGACCTTTGTCCTGAGGCGGTCATCCATCACTCCCGCGATACACATGTGAATCTGCAGATCGCCAATAGAAGGGAGGCAGATGACGCCCTTCGCACTGACGGTTACGATTGTGAGGTATAATACACTTGTGTTTGGTTTGGCTGCACTGGAAAGGGAAGTCTTTGGTTCGTTTACGCAAGTTCACAGATCAATATTTAATAACTAGACAAGAGATTGATGTCTAGGCAAATGTTAAGTTTCAGCTGTAACGGTATATATGAGTGAGTAAGTGAGTGAGTGATGTATATGAGTATAGATAGATAGTGAGTGAGTGAGGGTATGTTTACGCCTTTTTTAGCAATATTCCAGCAATATCACATCGGGGGCAAAGGGCTTCGCCCAGTGTACACATGTGGGGCAATGAACCTGTCCTTCGGAGTGACGAGAAAACGCTTTAACCATCTGGCTACCAAACCCACCGCCACTTAACTGTACGACAATAGGTCACAATACAAAAGGTTAAATGACAAGACAAGTATTTCTTACACTGTACAACATATTGATAACTTTTGAAGGAGAAAAGATAATCTGAAATGTGTTTTCTATTATTATTTTTCCACCTACCGACCAGGATAATTCACACGAAAAGTATGGCAAGATACGGAGACAAGATACAGGACATCGGCACTGCAAGTCAACTTGATAATACACTGATGAGTTATGGCGGCGAATAGAGCCAAATATACGCGATCAACCTGATTTCCACGACAGCCAAAACCACATGTGGTGGTCAAGGTTGATTAAAACATTGTACCCATCTTAAGTATCGAACCCGAGTCTTCGGCGTGACGGGCGGTCGGGTAGCCTAGTGGTTAAAGCGTTCGCTCGTCACGCCGAAGACCCGGGTTCGAATCCCGACATGGGTACAATGTGTGAAGCCCATTTCTGGTGTCCCCCGCCGTGATATTGCTGGAATATTGCTACAAGCGGCGTAAAACCAAACTCACTCACTCACTCACTCTTCGGCGTGACGAGCGAACGCTTTAATCACTAGGCTACCCGACCTCCCAGTTTGAAGAGGAGATATGTAGGTTATCAAGGGATTCGTTTCTTTTGGAGGTTAGTATTATTACATCCTGCAGTCACCGTAATGAAGGTGTATTCTGTGTCAGGTGAAGGCCTTCTTCGAGGGGCAGTCGGGTAGCCTAGTGGTTAAAGCGTTCGCTCGTCACGCCGAAAACCCGGGTTCGATTCCAGACATGGGTACAATGTGTGAAGCCCATTTCTGGTGTCCCCCGCCGTGATATTGCTGGAATATTGCTACAAACGGCGTAAAACCATAACACTCACTCACTCACTCACTCACACAAGCTGCGATCCTGCCTATGTAGCGTTCCGCTAGACTGACGGGCAAAGGAAAGTATACACCCATGTTTCATATTGATAGATGGATGCGTTACAAGTGGGTTTTACCTCTGAAGAACCGAGGTACAGAATTGGTCTTTTGAAATGTTTTTCGAAAGAGGCGACTCACTGGATCGGGTGGTCAGACTCGCTTACGTGGTTCATGCGTGTCATCGTATCCCAACTGCGCAGATCGATGGTCATGATGTCAATCACTGGATTGTCTGGTCCAGACTCGATTATTTACAGACCGTTGTCATATGGCTGGAATTTTGCTGAGTACGGCGTAAAACAATAAACAACAAGTGGTTTTCGTCAGGCAGTCTGTGTGAGTAAATATGATATACAAGTCTTATACAGATTCCAAGGGCACGGGTCACCCTGACATCTAAGGACCACAGTTCGCTGTGCAGAGTTGCGTCCCTTGAGGATGCCAGGTACTCTTGGTCGTGGGTTCGAATCCTGTACGCCCTGATTATGATTCTCGGTTTGTTATCTGGTGTAGTCATGTGATTGGTGGACCAAGGTTGCCGAGTTTTCCGCACTCTCCTGATGATTGCTATGCTCTAATATAACCAAATAATAATAATGGTGTAGAATTGACTACCAACACCTACGGTACACTTCCGGTGACTTATTTTGGTATATTAAGCTAGATCTTGTTGCAAATCGGCATTTACTCCTCTCCCACAGATGTAACCCATGTCAACGACAATGGGGGCCACCGACTTTTGTTTGTTTGTTTGTTTGTGTTTAACGCCGCACTCTCCAATATTCCAGTTATATGACGGCGTTCTGTAAATAACGAGTCTGGACCAGACAATCCAGTGATTGACATATCGAGCATCGATCCACGCAATTGGGATACGATGACATGCATCAACCAAGTCAGCAAGCCTGACCACCCAATCCCGTTAGTCGCCTCTTACGACAAGCATAGTCGCTGAAGACCTCTTCTAAAACGGATCTTTACGGGTCTCGTCCACCAACAGTGCAACGCTTAGGATCGGAACGACTATGCTTATCACACACCACCACCACCCCCAACCCCCACCCCCACCCCCACCCCTTAGCATCCACCCCCCCACCACCACCCCCACCCCACCCCCCCTCGGGGACCAAAGATGTCCAGTCTACCCTACCAACATGGGCACAACACCTGTTCACCGAGTTGAAGTCACTTGGTGAGTGGGTTTTAGGTTTTACGCCGCTTTTAGCAATATTCCAGCAATATCACAGCGGGGGACACCAGAAATGGGCTTCACACATTGACGTCATTGGCTCACATGACGCATGATAGGAGATAGGACTTCTGTAATTATATCGCGTGAATCAGAGAACAGAGAGTATAGGGAGATCAGAAGATAGAATGAAGAATGTAAACATTCATATGTCCCAACTTATTCAGACTCTACAGAGCACAGTACAGATAGTTCATGTACTAGAGAACTCTGTCAGTGGGTTTGCAGAGCAGTAAGACACATGTAGAAATAACAACGTGGACCTTGAATACCAGAATAACCTTCTAGGAGGAGGAGTTGATACCTGCCTCGATTCACAAGCTTGTAAGTGAGAACTATACCCTACATGAGACAATTTTGGATCTACAGTGAAGGGAGATGGATAGGGATCTTCTGTTTACTGGGGTGAGGTGAGGTGAAATTGGGTATAACGTCGCGTCCAAGATTATTGCACTGATATATCGACGTGCATGCACGTGTGTGTGTGCGTGCGTGCGTGCGTGTGTGTCTGCTTGTTCTAGTCCGGACTGATGCCGATTTATAGTGCTAGCTCACTGAGATACCATGCCGCAGTTTAACATGAATGCCCCACTAAGACATAATATACAGACTCCGAGACGACCAGTCCTTGTTTTAGCCATTTAATGCCGAGCACCAGACAGGGTAACAACAAGTACCATCTTTCAACGTCTTTTGAGGATGTAGAGCTGAAAGTCAGAAAGTCAGACAGCTGGTATATATATATATATATATATATATTGTTTATTCACAAAAAGTGTTTGGCCGTAGGCCTGTTACACAGAACTATTCATAGAGAGAGGGACAAAAAAGATTTACCGCTATTTTACATATATATCCATATCCATACACATTCATACACATACGCATGCATATATACAAATAAATATTTAGACTGTATGCAATGAACGAAGTCGAAAAGCTTTGTAAACGTAGACTGCTAGATTTCGTTATGATTTTAAAGTTAGTGGATGACATAAGAGCATTAAATTTATTTTTAGAAGGGGTTGTAAAATAATTAGGAGCAATGTATTCAGCTCTTAAATCACTATAAGCATTGCATATAAGCACAAAATGATATTCGTCCTCAATAAAATTCTGGTTACAAATCAAACACAGTCTCTGTTCTCTAATTTCCATAATATATCGACCGGTCTCAATTCGCAGCCGATAGGAGGAGCATCTCAACTGAGCAAGTGCAGCTCTGAATTTTGAAACATTTACTACATTGATATTGCTTTCTAAGCCAAATGAAATTTTGTAAAGAGAGTAACTTTGGGATTGAGTGCTAGATGAAACAGCTGCATGCCAATCTTGCTCAGACGAGGCTTTTAAACGGTTTACAAATTCCAAGATAAAGCTTCTACTATTATTACTAAATTGCATCTCCCATATGTAGCCAAAACCAAACGAACAGAGAATGTGTTTGATTTTAG